AAAAGGAAGTATTTGATGTCTTCTAAAAATACTAGAAACTAATAGACCACAGCAGGTTGCAAGAAAACTAAACGGATTTTGAACTAAGCGAACAACACACTTATAGCTGGTGCAAAACTATAGACGCACCAGTCATTTCTGCACTTAGTAGTCGATCGGGGCTCCACGGCGTAAAACAATCTGTTCAATCCGAGTTGGCATACTCTTCACCAGCGTCTAGATGTAGTCTTGCGAGATTTCATCCCAGCTTTTCACGATACTTTGCTTTAACTCGGCTGATGTTTCATATTGACGACCTCCAGCATAAACTCAACGAGCTAGAATCCCCCAAACGTTCTCTATGATGTTGAAATCAGGACTTTTAGCCGGCCATGTCATCGTGCAGACACTGGCATCCCGTAGGAACTTCTTGGTACGACGAGCAGAGTGAACAGACGCGTTATCATGCTGAAATATTGGTCAAGAAACCTGATTGTTTGTGCAGAGGTCTTCAACGTAGGGGAGCAGATTCTCACGCAGCGTCTTAACGTAATCGATAGAACTTTGACGGCCCTCTAGAATGGCCAGATTTGTTTTTTCGCGCCAGCTAACGCCATCATGACACTTCCTCCGCCACTCACCCGCTTCGAGAACAATTCAGAATCTTGTCGCACATCATGCCAGTAGTAGCGATAACCGCCAGGGCCATCTAAATTGATTTTTTTTTTCATCTGTAAACATAACAAGTCGGCAGTACGTGTTCTTACCAATTTTATTTTGAGTAAATGCAAGGCGAGCTCTTTTGTGGTGTTTCTTGATGGCCGGAGCGGGTTTTCGCTTAGCAAACTTCGCGAACTTGGTGCCTTGAGCACTCTTAGCACGGTAGAATACTTGATAACGCTCCTCAAGTCGAATACGATCTCTAGCGATGATCTATTCTTGTGAATAGCAAGCCGAAAGATGCGCCGAGCATAGACTTTGAGTATTCTGCCTCGCTTTTTAGGGGGACTTATGCTCACCCGTTGCGTTAGAAAGGTTCGCATGGCCTTGTCGCTGCGTCCAATCTTCGCAGCGATCGCTCTGTTACATAGATTGCAGTCTCGGTAGGCCAGAACCTTACCTTTCTCTTCTGGAGTGAGAAGCGTGCCTTTTGGCTTGTTTTGACGAAGAATAAATGCGTGAAATGGCGCCAAAACGTGAAATATAAGAAGTGGAAATTCTATTATCAAAAATTGCAAAAATACGCTAACCAGATTGGAGAAAACCGAAATATAGTCAAGTGCGTCTATAAATGTGCACCAGATGACAAATTAACTTTTGTCAATTACACATAACGTCACTTGGTCTATGCTTTGATGTTTCCTGGAACGTACGCCTCGTGTGTACATTCGGCCAATTCTTGACATTCCAGCCTAAGCTTTTGCTTAAGCTTCGGAAATTCGACAGTCCAGTAGTACACACCGTCATCGTCACCCCACGACTCCACCGTCCCGCAAAAACTCTCGAGTTTTGTCGTGTTCGCTTTTGTTGTTACCTCGAAATCTCGCATGACTTGCCAGTGAATTGGTGACATTGGCTTCTCAAGATGTAGCTTGATCAAAGTGTTGACAGAAAATTGGTGATCTGCCTTGTCTTTCGCAAGGCAACTTTTCGCCTTCCGCTGACCTCCACTTGCCTTTCGCGTTGGTAGAGCACTTAGCAGGCGCTTTAAGCTCACCTCTTCTTGTAGAACCATTGCAGCGAAAACGTGAGAGCACTGCCAGCCTGTCTGGGCAAACATAACGCAATCGCAGACATACTTGCGACGCACGCTTTGAATCTACCGAGCGATAGCAGTAACACAAAAATATTAATAAAAATACTTAACGCATACGAAATATCTGAAAACAAACTGTTCCTACCTACTCAATTGAAATGCGGGCGGAGGGAATAAAGTCCGTGACGGGTTCAACATGCAGTAGTTTTACTTGGTGGATCGACAGGCAATAGCGCTCAGCATTTCGAACGGTAACATCCTCTGGTAGTTTTCCTTCCAGCGAGTTCAAGTATCTAAAAAGATAAATTAGTAAAATAAAAACTTCACCGTGTATGTGTACTACCCGTTGCGCTCTTCTTCTGTCTAAGTCGGATCCGTTGACGTTCTTGCTCGATTTTAAGAACTTGGTCGCGTTGAATAGCACGCCGAACAGCACTCTAGTAACCGGTACTTTCAGCTTGTAGTAGTTTTTCTTGTTGTCGAGTAGGCGCTGGGTATTTTCCACAGACTCACTGCATAACGGACCTGTTGCACCACCGCAAAATAGTTAGACGCCATAAGCTGCTAAAGTTGTTGATTCCGACACCTACCTTCACTCAAATGGTAAAGACTTTGCTGGAATAGCTGCGAAGCTTCATGAAATAAAATGCTTGGTATCCCGTCATTCAACACCACAGACGTACTGGAGCGAAGGGATGCCACGCACGTTTTCTTAATAGTGCTGTGGTGGGATTCAAGTGCATTTTTGACGGCGTAACACAAGGAATTGCAGACCGGTAGTACCAGAACATCCACGTTGAGCCTAAATACGTATCCTCAAACCAGTTTGCGTAGCCAACCTCTCCTTCACTGCGCCAATAATCCACAAATAGCCGAGGCAACGCCTTAAATTGCTCCTCAGAACGTGCTACGCTCAGGTACCTGATGTTGACAGCCACGTCATCGTCGTAGAAAGACTTTTTCGTGAGGAGGCCGACTTTGTCGGATGCACCGCGCTTTCGTGCGAGATGCGGATAGCAATTTAGCAAACGAATGTTTGGCAAAACTTCTCTAAAGGCACTAGCAATGCACTGACTTCGGTCCAAACTGCCAAACGACAGTACTAGATCAATGCTGAAAAAGATAGATGCGTAATTCCGCACCGCTTTGAACATCGTCGCGTAGGCTACATGATGTTCTGTTCGGACAAACATGTATACCCAAGGCACATATGTCTTGGCATAACGCTTTTTGTCGTAGTGGGCCGTGTAAGTACCGAAATCGACCAAGGTCCATCCACTTAGTCACGTAAAAACACGAAGCTTGTTAGTCCATCCAAACTTTACTCATAAAATGAAAAGGTCTCACCAAAATGAAGGCGATAGGTTCCATCAGTGACACCAACAACACCATCCGCGTTCTGGCCTTCGTATGCTTTTAACACGTTCCAGAAGGTATTACGAGTGGCGAGAATGAGGCCACAGCAGTCAGTCTTTTTGCAATCATCTAGAGTCGCCTCGTGGGAAAAGCACTCCAGCACCAAAGTGCCATGCTTGTGATCTTTGTCCAAGTTGTCAAATACAAGGGTGTCGCGCCGGCGATCGAAAGCCTCATCCGAGGTGGCACCTGACCCGCGGATAAAGAACTCGCCTTCATTTCGCTTCAAAGCAGGCTTTGCCACCATTCCAACTGCCATTCTTGAAGAAAGCCTGCCGCCTATGTGAGTGTACCGCTCAACAGCAGCCGATCTCCAGCGACCAAAGTGTTTGACTGAGAGGCCATCATACCCAGCGTTGAAAACAGCCATCACCTCGTACAGAATGCAATCCGTAGCTGTCGGGATTTTGTCCTGCGCATTCAGCTACACTTTTGAGAGCCCTTACCACTTCGCCAACTTGCAGGTTCGTGTTATAATCCACCGTGCGCAATAGTCTACAACAGTTGGACGCTGTATCCAAACATCTTGCGATGATGCCACGCGATATGACCGACGTTTGAGAGCACGGTACCGGCAGTATTTCATCTTCGTGAGTTTGTTCCAGCCGAATAGCCAGCAATACACGGCAATTAGAGCGAGCTGGTATGAGTGTTGTCGAGGATTCTCAGGCACCATATCCATCCTTGCGACCATGTTCCCTATACTTTGATGCTGATGTCGAGTCCAATGAGCTGGACTGTAGTTGCTTGAGAAGGAAATTCCGTCCAAGCATGTGATACTGCGACTGCCATTGCGTTGATTGGGCAGGCGATGTGAGCAGCGGACACACGGAGGTTATAATAGGCTTCCGGAAGACCGATGCACTATTTAATTCTTGGCTGAAGACATCACAAAAGTGGAGGTAATTGCACCATTCCACCGCGTAGGTATTACGCTCCAACACTTGATGTAGAGCATCCGACCTTTTGCCTGACGACTCCACTTCAGCACTCACGTCCAAACAGCTAGCGCGATGCACATGTGTTCACGGACAATGATCGAAAATTGCTAGTTCCATCGCTAGTGGTATGTTAATCATTCGCAAGTTCGTCGTTGTCATACTTAACTTGAATATCGCCATATAAAAGGAAACATCACCAGGAAGGAAAAAAAAATCATTACCGAACAGAGAGCGCGTGATAATCTTGAAAATGGCCAATTGCGACTGTGAAACGACTACAAGTTATTCGAATCGGAACGCAAAATCACAAAACCAGCAGCAGCAACATATTTGCCGGGGATTTCGAAATAGCACTGGGTGAAATATATGAGTAGGCGGCGTGCGCGTCACAGTGTTGACGTCGCACAAGACCCCGACATAGTGACAATCGACCTAACGGAGAGTGACGTTGAAGACAGCTAAAGAAGAACGTTGCAGTCAGCGACTGACGTGCGCTAGGATCTGTGGCTGGAGGTGGCGGCCAGCAGCTGAAAAGGCGTGGAGGGCGAGCAGTCGCCGAGAGAAGATCGCTCAGGAGGAGTGACACAGCGTCAGGTACGACAAAGAGAGTGCAACAAGGAGAGGCGACGTCGAAGGGAGAACTGGACGGTCAGGAGACCACGTGCATAGTTGGTAGGTAGGAGTAGTCTTCGTAGGAGAGCTCTGGACGGCCGGCGGTGGCCGCCTAACTCTCAGTTGCGATTCAGCCAGTACCGGGCAGGGTTAAGCAGCTAATATACGCGTGGGGTTCTGCGGTTCTGCGGGGCCGGCCTCACCCAACAGAGAAGAAAGACTTACTGAGCGAGGGTGACAGGGCAAACAGGGCATTGGTGCGTACTGAGGCGGTAGATTGAAGTGGCTCGTGGGTTCGGAGAGCGGGGGACAGTGGTTTGCGACCACTGAGGAGGACGCTGCTGTGAGCGACCCCTTGCCGTGAGGAGAGTTGTCGCCTGGAGCTGCCCAGTGGCTGTCTCCAGGATGACTTTGCATACTGTATGTCGTCGGCAGGTGAGCCGCGGAACCGAAGTCGACGCGGGGAAGCGCGTTCACCACCCTACCGCTATAGCCGGGCGGCACCAAAGGCGACTGAGACGCCGTGCAGCCACGGAAGTGCCTGATCTATATTTTTCGCCAGCGTGTCATGCATGACGCACTCCCCTCATCCGTGGGTACGACTTCATGGTGGTCATACATGGGGCATCTGGGCTGAGTACTCTGAGCGTGCTTAGCGAGCTTGCCTTTAGTGGCTCGAACCCTGAGAGAGCGAGAGAGAGAGAGAAGAGGAATGAGTAAGTGACGCGAATCAGAACAGGAGTCTGACGAACTGTGTTATCTGTATTAGAGAAGCTATGACTAAGAAGCGAAAAGAACACCAGACGGAGCAGAGTCATCAGGCCGGAGACGCCCCGCGTCTGCAGAAGAGACCGAAACCACTGGAAGTGTCCATATTGGAGTCTGGACACGAGGCTGGCTTTATAGCGACGAGCGCGGACGTTCGCGTGACGACCGGCAAGACGCCAAGGACAAGCGACGACGTGGAAGTGATGATGGTGCACACCGGTGGCGGAGCATCTGGTGGACACGACGGAGGAGACACTAGACAGCCTGCGAGTGGGGTTGGCATGGGAACTGGAACCAGTGATGACAGTGGTCGTGTGGAGTCTGGGGTCAGTGGGCAAGCTGGACAGTCACCACCAGCATGTCTACAACCACCTCCAGCACCGCAGCAACCTCCGGCGGCACCAGCACCACGACAGCAGGGACAGGAACCGACGACGGCGGTGCAGCAACCGATGACCATAGTGATGCCAAGGGAGGCCAACCCGAAGCAGTTGAGAATTCCGAAGTTCAAAGGCATCGACGACGCTCTACCCGTGACGACGTGGCTTCGGAGTATCCAGAATGAGATCAAACGACAGCAGTCGACGCTAGGGGTGGCCTGGCAGGAGCACCAGCTCTACCTCGAAGCAGCGGCGAATTTCGAAGGTGAAGCATTACGCTGGTTCGGCACCATCGCTGGGTCGATCCCGGAAAACGAACAGACGCTGGACAACCTAGCGCGGCTATTGAGGGCGAAGTATACGGTACAGCGCTCGACACCTGAAGTGGTCGCCCGCTTGAACGCACGACGCCAGATGATTGGAGAACGGCTTGTGGAGTACGCCCAAGTGCTCCGTGAGATCGTGGCGGACAGAGGAATCGGAGAGGAGTGGCTGGTTGATGCGTTCCTGTGTGGAATGCAAAACGAACAGTCAGCGGCATCGGTACGTGGACACTATCCACAAACACTTGACGAGGCCGTACGGATTGCAGTCTTCCAGGTTGGCGAGTATGGCGAGGGCTACCGTGTCGGCTTGGAGGCGGCGATCGGGAAACAGGCAGAACGAGGAATGGGGACTGGCACGTCGCAGCAACAGGCGGCGACAGTGCCTGCTGCCCCACATGGACAAGCCCCACTGGTGAATACCCTGGAAAATAACTTGGCGAGTGTTGTGACCGGCTACGAAGGATTACTGGGAGCTCCGACTAAGCTAGTTGGCCGACGCCAACCTAGGTACGATAGAGAAGGGCGATTAGTGGTTACCGGCACTGGAGATAAGGGCACCCCGAACTGGCTCGAAGCGGCTTCACTCCTGTTAAGTGGGTACCAGTTGGTACCGCAGGGAACCATTCTAAATCAAAGTGTGGCTCCTCAGGGTCAACAGCAAACCCGAACCTATGGCAGTGACCAGCGAGCTCCCCAACCGAGGCCTCAGCAGCAGCATGGACATCGCTGAGAGGGCGGTGGGCAGAACGCAAAACGGTTCGGCAAAGCACGGAAAGTGGAAGGTCGTTACAGTCCATATGCTCGTAATTCTGGCGGACTGGGCAATTACGGACCACGACAGCCACTGATGATTAAGGAAGACAGACTACGCAACTACAGACGCTATCAAGAAAACATGAAGAACAGGACAGCGGTACCGTACAACTCAGACATGAGAGAGTGTTATTATTGTGATCAGATCGGCCACCTGTCTTACGACTGCGACTTGAAGAAGCAGGACATGGAGGGAGAGACTGGTGCCAATCAGAACCTTAATGACAACGACAGAGACACAGCAGACTCGGGAAACGCCACGCGAGCGTAGAGAACCCGACTCGGCTGCTCGCTTCCACGATTCGGGAAGGTAAGCGGCCGGTGCGAGCAAGTGACGGGCAACGGTCGCAAGGAGATGGATGGAACAGGACGGTGTATGAGACTGCGGAGCCGCGCGGGTCCGGCGATAAGACGGTAAGGGTGAGTGCAGGCAGTGTGGCCCATAATTCGGGTGGCGGTACACCCAGGACGGCGCATGACAGAGAATCAAGTGACATGGTCAAGACTGGGGATGGCGACGACAGCGAGGAGAGCAAGGCGTTGGGTGTCGCGCACGAGGGTACACTGGTGATCGAGAACGAAATTAAGGACGGTACGGAAGGGAATTTGGGGTACCCAGTGGTGGAAATTGGAGGTGGCGCGCGCCCTATAACCACCGAGTCGTACGTGGAGGATGAAGACAGCTTGTACAGCCGCACGACGGATGGCGAGGCTGTAGACAACGTCGGTGTGGTCGTTGACACGAACGTGGTGGAACCTTACGGTGGAGTTGGTACTGATCCCAAGGAGTTGACGCCGGCGCAGTTGATGGCGACCATCGTGTCGGAGATGAGCCGCAGCGACGAGACGAAAGCGCGCGCGTTGCGGATGCGGGCCGTTAATGGGGAAGTCCAGCAGCGGCAAGTCGAGGAAGAGGTACGGCGGAAGACTAAGAGGGAGAAGCGTCGTGGGCGATTACGACGGCTCAAGGCTGAGCGAGGCCAAGACCCTCCCGTGACAGTAGGAGAGATACAAGCGGCGACGTCCAAGAGAGAGGACCCTCCAGCAAAGGTTCACGTGTCACCAGACGTGATGCACGAGTCCCGTGTGCAGATGTCAGAGCCGACTGATGAGTTTCGTGATGTATTGACGTGGAGTTTGCGTGCTCGGGACGCATTAAAGCACGTCAAGGCGAGCAAAGATGTATTGGTGGACGGGTTCGCGAAGTTGGCGGTCGAGGAGGCCAAAAGACTGGAGCATTTGGCGGCTGGTAACGTCGTAGGCGACAACGACACCAGAAAGGGCGTAGCACAACAGCTCGTAGCTGCAGCTACGGGGTTGCGTGCGATTGCGGATGGTGATTGGAGTGAGCGTGAAGATACGCCATTACAGGTGTCAAGGTCTCGTCGACGCTTCGAGAAGCGAGTGACGAAAGCGCTGGCGAAGGAACGCCGACAGTTGTTGGCCCGGAAGCAGGATGCAACGTACCCAGAACAGACGTACGTCGCGATGGACGATGTGAAGCGCCACGGCATAAGGCGAGCTCGGCGTCTGACGAAAGAGGAGGCTGAGGCTGTGGGCATCGCGTTGCCTCACGCGAATGACGCATTGCGCAAGTTCGGACGGCAGAGGCGAGGGCAGCGCCACTAT